TGACTAATAGACAACAAGTTCTTTTTCATTTCAGGCACCGAAAGGACATTAGAAACATTGAATTTTCTAGATTGAATATCAATATTTGCATTACCAATATATGAAATAATTAATTGGTCACCATTCCCAACCATAATTGTATCTGTGTCTCTAAAGGGATGAAGATTTTGCAACTTACCTGGATCGCCTATCATATGAGTGGAGGCACTTATGTTCGGGAACCATTCTGAGTCTCGTGAATCAGCTATAGTCATTGCAGCAAGGGTCTGAGGAATATCTTCTACTTGGTACGTATGGTTGAAGCGATGCCAATACTTCAAAGTAGTATGTCTAAGTTTCCCACAAACTTAACACTTTTCTCAAGGTGTCTGAGTAAATTGTTGTATTTGAGAATCTTGTTGAAAGCCTTGATTCATGTGTTATATAGGAAGTGTACTTCCATTTTTGGGTCACTCCACGACCCTCATTACAGATCTGACTAATTTGAACAAAACCATGTCCTTGAGAGTTGAAGAACTGTTGACCACCAAAGTTTCTTCCTTTTCCTCTATAATTCCGGCTACCTATGTTGAGTCCAAATTTTTTTAATCTCCAACAAAGGTCATGTTTTGATTTAGATATGAGTATTCATTAGAGATATGCGATTGCTTTCTAATCTTATGGCTTTGAAAAAAATGTATAATTTTAGAATATGAAGGAATCAGATGCTAAGCATAAAGAATTCTTTAGAGAGAAATGAACTTCTGAAAAGATAATTGTGCCCCACCTTGTTTGTGGCGGTTTTATAATACAATGGTGTAGTATGCCCTTTCCTATCATGTTAAATACAATATACATTTTTCCTATCTTGTACAATAACTATATGTACTTTCTTATCCTATTACATTTTACAATGGTAATATTTTGCTTCTATTATGGGGGTGCCACCACCATGGCCCAACCCCTTTCCTATACAAGAATAACAATATTGTTTTTACTTTTTCAAACAAATTCCTTTTCAAAGAGAGAGAGAGAGAGTAAAGAGTGCATAGGAGAGTATCGAAGGCCTTTTATTTTTATATTTATTTTTAGAGTTTTTTTTAAAAAAAATGTTAGGTTCATTATAATGAACTAACAAAGATGTATAACGAGAAAGCTATACAGTTACTCAAAAAAAATAAAACAAAACTATGCTCTCCAACATAGAAGCTTGTTGCTACGAAGTACTCCCATCAGGCAAAATCAGTCTTTAGTTGAGGAGGGAGGGTGTCCATCAAAAAACTACGTCTACTTTTTCACCTAGTTTAATCCATAATTCAATAAGCTTAAACTACTCTTCTCAAATGATCCTTTAAACACCCTAAAGTATAAGTTAATGGGGAAGCACATAAAGGCCACTGGTCTTATGAAGTGTTTAGAAAACATGAATGGGCTCGCCAAATTTTTGGTGGTTGAATAACAAAAAAATTTAAAAAGCAAAATTTGGGAGGATTAAGGCCGTTCCTTTTACCAAAGCCCATTCTCAATGATTTTGATTAAACTCAAGCGCTTCCAAGTCGGCTCCATAATGAGATTGTCTACAAAGAGATAATTTATCATTTACACATGGAGGTCACAATCATTCTCACTCATTAAATGTCAATTTAGATATCTTGAGGTAAGTCACAAAGTCCGAGAAAATTCGTTTTAAAACTTTGTATCTAGTCAATGACACTCTTACAGCCAACCATTTTGAAATTTAAGGGACACGAATGATTGTAACCTCCACCTATAAAAAATAAAACATCTCTTTATGAATAATCCCTTCTATTTATGTCAAACTTCACTTAGGGCCGTTTGGGTGCATGATAATCTATTAGAGGAAAACATATTACAATGAAATATAGGATTTACAGTTTGGGTACACTTCAACTATAAGAAAATAGAAATAAATTGCACAAGATTTGTCTAAAATATATAAGTTCTATTATGTGCAGGATGGTTGTGAACACTTGCCCAAAAAACCATTCTCCTTCTTTCCTGTGCACATCCATTCCTTCACTATTCTCCCTTTCTCTTGTGCAAAAAAAAAAAAGGATTTTTTTGGGATTAGGGTTTAGATCAACATAAAAAAGTGATAAATTATATTTTATTTAAATTATAATGATTACTATTTTGGAAAAAAAATGATTTTTTGGGAATATGGTTTAGATAAATGATAAATTACTAATAATATATTAACTGTATTTTTATTTTTATTTTTCACATTGGCCTCATTCAATATCTCAATCTAATTTTTAAAAAACTTTACCATTTCACAATAATTTCTTTAAAAAAATACATCACTTTTTACTATTTAAACTACAAATTAACGATATTTAATGCCTGTGAGTAAAATAGTTCTCTCAATGTTTATGACCAATATTAATTCACACTACTAAGTTATTATTTTTTGAGGCATGACAAACATGGTATATTCATGCTATCTATACATATGCATTTCAATATTAAATAGGAATGTCTACAAAGAGACCATTTTTTTTTGTGTAAAGTAAGAGCAATGTGTTTCTCACGTTGCATCTAAATACTACCCAAACAGTAACAATCAATTTGCATGTAATGTATTATGTCAGTAATATATTTCACAGACAATTTATTTCCAGGTATCCAATCGACTGCTTAAGCTTCAGGACAGAACCAGTTTTGACAATGAAAAAATTCAATCTATCATCATTTCATCCCTCACTTGAAGATCAGATATATTTAAAAAAAAGATCTTGAATGATGGTCTATTTGAAATTAGATAAAAAACTAAAGGTACGAAGTTAAAATTCAAATATTAAAAGTAATTTTATAAATTTCCTTTAAATTATAAATCATCAGAATACTTTCATTTGAAAATATAATAAGAGTTTATATCAGATATAAACCTTGTCTCGTAGAAGCAAGGAGGAACTAAAAAATCCATTGAAAAATGTCACTTCAATGCTAGAAACCATCCAATTGATGATCTCGACTTTGAGATGTATGAGAATAAAAACAAAAAGAGATTTCTATTTTCAAAAACTTTTAAGTGTCTATAGATCAGCTCGATCTAGACAATATTTTGAACTTCAAATTTTATAATTTGAAATAAAATACATTTTGAGATCATCACAAAATTTCCAATAGCCAAAACTACATCTTATAGAGTTAAGAGGTGCACGTCTCAACCTCACCCATTTGGCTGGGCTTCTAAAGCCATATTACACCAAAGTTTGTTAAAACCGCGGCCTTATGAGAATCCACACGCGAACTTCGGTACCAGATTAGACCGACTAATTGTGTCGTGGACTAAAAAGGTTTAGACCGAGAAGTAATTAAGACAAAGAGAGGGGTATTGGGACCCCAAAAGGACGACTGTGCCCTTTATTTCCCAACACATTTGCATCTATTTTTTGGCACTTAAATAACTTGCAGCGAACTTTTGTACTAAGCTGTTTTATTCCTTTCGTATGTCCATGTCGAGTACTAAGATGTTTCCTTTCTTTCTTCTAAGGTTCAGATTCAACCATGTTCATCCAAGGGCCAATAATGAATCTCTTTTTTATTTTTAAATTTTTTAAAATAATATTAAGCTGATATTTTGTATTTAGATTCATTTTTATATGTCGGATTGAATAAAATTAATAAAAATAATTTGAATAAAAATGTGGACCAAAATATATTTAGAAATATTTTAATAATTATTTATTTAAATTATTTTTTAATTATTTAATAAAAATACATATACACATAAAATTTAGATAAATATCTTATATTAAGAAAATAAAAATGAGGTTAATTTTCGATCGTTGGATATTGGCCATATGAGAACTCAACTATTAGAAGGGTGCATCCTTCCACTAGTCCACATGATGTAGACATGATACTTTTCCATATCCAAAAAACCTGCACTCACATTACATATGGTGTTGGTTTTTTAGCAACTTGGGTGTTGATGGTCTGCTACCTCAAAGTCATACTAACATTATTGAGAATGTCTTTTGATGGGCTGCCAAAGGTGGGTAAATTGATTTTTCAGATCGGAAAGGTTGCAGTGGTGTGGGAGATTTGATTGGAGAGAAATATATGAGTTTTTTAAAGGATGATAATGAGATAGGGAAACTTGGTTAATAAGAGAATACACCATAGAATGTTGAGTTGGTTCTCTATTATGAAGGAAGGATTTGGTATGTCTAAAGCGGACATGAATATGAATGTTAGGAACTTAATGGTACAAACGGTGGTTAAGATTCGACAGAAAGGGTGATGGGCTGCTCGTGTGTTGGGTAGTGAATTGTCATGGAAGTCTGTCGGAGTTCTTGAACCAACAGGAGTTGGGGGGGCGTGATAAGGAACCACGTAGGTGTTTGTATCTTATGTTTTGCAGGTCCGTGTGATGTCAAAACAACGAATGAAACGAAAATGCTAGCTGTGGTTCAAGGTTTGAAAATCACTAAATTACAGGGGATGTAGGAATGTTGTGTGATTCTTTGTTTGATTGCTTTGTAACCTTTTTTGATCAATAAAATTACAAGACATTGACCCAAAAAAAAAAAAAAAAAAAAAAAAAAAAAAAAAAAAAAAAAATAAGAGACAGAAATATGAGAGAAGAGTGAGAGAGGTGATAAATGAGAGATGACGGGAAGGGTTGGCATTGAGGCTACCCCTGCCCTAGCCCTACACTAGTCTGTATAGTGTTCGCCTAGGCCCCAGCCCTAAGCTATAAAAGCCCATGCCTAGACCCAGCCCTAGCCCCATCTGGCTCGGCCAAATAATATAAAAAATAATACAAAAAAAAGCTAAAGAAAAAAGAGGACGAGTTGGATTGAACTCAAGTAGCTTAGCCCCAGGCCCGGCCCTACCCTAAGGTTGTGGTTGCCCTAGCCCAGCCTTAGGTACATTTCTTGAGCCGGGCCCACATTTTTTAGGACGGGCTTTCGGGGGCAGCCGGGCCACCACCCTCAACGGCGGGAATGTTATTATACAGCAAATTAAAGAGAGAACGGCGCGAACGTTGTTGTACAGGGAGAAGCGGAGAGAGAGTAAATCTGGATAGAGGGAAAAGCTGCCATTAGGTTTATTGGCTGCATTAGAACAAATTAGAGAGAGAGAGAGAGAGCTGCCATTAATGCTGTACCCTTCCAGCCTGCAAAGTTGTTGAATGGTTTCAACCACCAGGAAAATGGCTCCATTTTTAATCCCCACCCCACGTCCACAATAGCCCCTTAAATTCCCCATCCAACCTTCTCCCCCTCTAGAAACAAGCACATCATTGTTCTTCACCTGCAAATTCCGAGTTGCTCTTCTTAATCGTTCTCATCTTTGCGTACATAATTTTCAGAGCTTGAATGCTCTGATATGTAGGCAGTGTCCCCTGGTTTTGGATGAATCAGGGTTTAGGATCTGGGAAATAGGGCCTAGTGGTCAGAGAGCTACTGTATTTTTGGGAGAGCTTTATTTTTTCAGTAATTTCCACTGTGGTGTTTATTTATTTATTATTATTTTTTCATATATATTACCTCTTGTTGATTTCAGAGCTTCTTGTTTTCGGGCGAGTGTGTTGATTTTTGTGTGTCTAAGTCATGCATTATCACTTGATAAATCTATTTGGAATGTATTGCATTTTATGATGAACTAGGATTAAGTGGTTGTAAATATTTCAATTTTTCCGCCTGAATTTTCAAGCTATTTTAGCTGCATTTATAGTAGTTACAGTTTTCATTTATAGTAGTTACAGTTTTCGCATACTCTAGTGTGGATGCATTTGCTGTTTTGGATGTACTTGTGTTCGGGCTGTGGATTTGAGTCTTTGGTAATGAGCTTATCTGGTTCTTTGCTTCTCAGAGTTTCATCTATGTTTTCAATTACAGTGGGTTTTCTCATGAGATAGCTTTTGGCTCCTAGTCTCTGGTTGTCATACTCAAATTTTAAACATCTATGTGTACTGGAAAAATCCCAGAGTTTGTGGGTAAATTAGTGTTCGGTGTTTGAAGCAATGGCTAAGCAGCTACATGTTTTGAGTTGTGCATTAGCTTGTTTTGGCACAAAAGCTCAGAGACTGAAGTTTTTATCCATTCCCCATTAATGTTTCTAAGTTTTTAGGGTCAAATTAGTGCTTGGCATTTGGGAATTTCGAATTACATTTTTTATGACTCATTATCTGCATAATAATTCTCGAGTTCTATTCAAGTTATGTGAATTTTTAATTTTTGAAATGAATTCAGGTTCTTCATCTTAAAATCGGCTGGTTTAAAGGGCCATATTCTGCAGTAATGATTTTAGTGTTTGGAATCAGGGAATTTAGATTCTAGGTTTTTTGGCACTGGGGGTCTGGGATGGAGATTGGTGGGAATTATGCTTCTGGTTTATGGAATTCCTCTGATAATGTTTTTGAGAGAATGAACTCTTTTCGAGAAGATGATGATGAGCAAGCTTTGAAGTGGGCAGCACTCGAGAGATTGCCCACTTATGCTCGGGTACGAAGGGGTCTTTTCAAAAACATTGTTGGGGAGCACAGTGAGATCGATGTAGCAAGTCTAGGGTATCAGGATCGACAGCTGGTTCTCGATAGGCTCTTTAGCATATTGGATAAGGATTCTGAGCGGTTCCTTGCACAAATGCGAAGTCGATTCGATAGGTATACTATTTTCTTTTTTATCATGCAATTTCATTCCACCACATATTCATACTCGCACACACACTGTCTCTATCTTCCTCTCTCTCTTTTTGTAAGAAATCGGTGTTCATAATTGATTACACAGGGGAATGCTTTATGTTTCCTGGGCAGGCCAGAGAAATTTGTAGTTTCTCCAATTGATAGGGGTAGTTAAGTTTATTTTCTTGTGGAGTTTGTCGGTACTTGCTATGGAGTAATCCAAAGGAAAAAAAATAGTCTTTTTTTTTAATTGTTCTTGTGAAAACCTGTTTGTCTCCATTGCCTATGATTTTTCTGTTTTACTTGAAGTCGCTAGTGGTGTTTTCTACTTCTTGTGGGTGGGAGTCCTTTTCCCTATGAACTTAACTCATGGGAAACTTATTTGTTAGTTTCAAAATGTTATTCAATATCTATTGAAAATTAGTAGATGTTAAGAGAGTAGGTGATAGGCTCTTGTTAATTAAACCTGTGTTAGGAGAGGAGATAATTAATGCAATTAGTGCTCATACGCCGCCACATGTAGGATTGGAGGATAGAATTAAAAGACAATTATGGAAGGATATAAATGGACTGGTCCCTGGAATAACAAATGGAAAGAGGACATTTTTAGGAAGGAGTTTAAATGGTCATGTATGAAAAGGTAGTAGAGGGTATTAAATGGTACATGGAGGATATGGATTTGGGGTTACGAATGAGATGGGTGATGCTATTCTTGATTTTGCTATGGCTTTACGATTTAACAATCATAAACACCTATGATGATCTATTGAAAACCTCATTGTTGAAAGAAAATCTTTCGCATACTTGTAATTATTGAACGGAAGTATACGGAATATATTGATCATCAAAATAAAAATCTAGTACTTTCCTAATTCACTAAGAGCTGAAAGATCTATTATGGATCATTGTGGATGAGCTATTTGTCTTTTTGTAATGGTTATCAATATTCTTTTGGACTTCTTTTGGTTGTTGGGAGTGTAAGTTTTTCATCAGTTATCGTTTCTGTCTGCTAATGTTGTTGAAGGCATCTATGACTTCTAAGGAATTATAACTGTGATGTGCGTTTTTTTCTGCACATTTGGAAATTTATGTGATCCACTAATGATTATCATTTGTTTTATTATGAAATTTGCAGAGTTGGGTTGGAATTTCCAAAAATCGAGGTTCGGTTTCAGCAGCTAAAAGTAGATGCATTTGTCCATGTAGGAAGTAGAGCTCTACCTACTATTCCCAACTTCATTTTTAACATGACCGAGGTAGGAAAGAGTGGCTTTTTTCGAATACAAAGAATTTGGAATTTTTGTGCTTCTGTGAATTTTTTCTTCTCTTTGATTTATGGAACATTTTCTCGCAAGGCCTTCTTAAGGCAATTCCGGGTTTTCCCAAGCAGAAAAAAGCGACTCTCAGTACTGGACAGCCTCAGTGGGATCATTAGACCTTCCAGGTGAAATTCTGCGAGATTTGAGTTACTGACATTAAGGTGGTTTGTCTTAGTACTTTTAATGACTGATTTGCTTTTATTTTTAGATTGACATTGCTTTTGGGTCCTCCAAGCTCCGGGAAAACAACATTGCTCTTGGCTCTCGCTGGAAGGCTTGGATCAGATTTGCAGGTCTGCAAACTTCTTTCGTTATATTTTCTCATTACATGGCAATCTTGGACTAAGCTTCTTAAAAGTACTTGCAGGTTTGACCGTTTGATGGCATGAGAATGTACACACCAATTAGCTTTTTTTGTCCCTACTTGCCTGAAATATTGTACTGATATATGGTGGTGGTGGCCATTGAATACTCTCAGATATGTATATATCAAACACAAAGAAACCAGGGGCCCATGTGCACATTTAGTTTTCTTAATTGAAAAAGATACAGAACAACCTTCTTATTCAAAAAAATAAAAAAAAGATACAGAATAACCTTGAAACTATGAGAATGCTCCCTCATTCCCCAACATACCAAATGATGTTTGACACAAACAATTGAAAAAAAAGCCCACATAGATGTCCTCCAAGAATTCTAGCTGGATCCATACTGCAATGTGCAAGTGCATCACATGTATTTGCTTCAGATGGTGCCTAGGGTGGCACAGAAACTTGAGATCACAAGAGGGGGGTTTTTATTGGAAAGCCTGGAAGGGAAACAACAAAGGTTATGATGCGCAGATACAGCTTTCAACACAGCTAAAACATGAAGTTCCTGTTAATAAAATTTGAAGTATCTGATATGGATACTGCATCCATTGCGAAGTATCCTATGCATAATAGGCTGACAGTCTATACTATTTGTGATAAAGATCATTTGGTTTGGGTAGAGCAGGTAGCAACTGTTAGTGGGTGATTGGCATTATGGTCAAGTCATTATCAATAGCATGGGCCCTTTTAAGCTAAATAAATTAAGATTTAGGGGTAGCTGTTAGTTTCTCATAGAACTAGCAGTGTTTTCACAGTCAGGCTTTGTTGCTCTGTATTCCAGTTAATGTGGTTATCGATCTTGATGCTTACACCAAATAGAATTCTAAAAATCAGGGAGCTTTCTTTGTGCACGGCATGCAACAGTCAGGCTTTGTTGCTCTGTCTTCTAGTTAATGTAGTTATCGATCTTGATGTTTATACCAAATAGAATTCTAAAAATCAGGGAGCTTTCTTTGTGCATGGCATGAAATCATGAAATAATTTTCCTAGCGATGAACTTAGGTGGAAAATGGTCTGTTTCTTTAAGTATTGTACTTTCCTATAAATCGTTACTGTGCAATGCTACAGGTGTCAGGCAGTATAACATATAACGGACACAAGCTGAGCGAGTTTGTGCCTCAGAGAACATCAGCATATGTGAGTCAGCAGGAAGCGCATGTGGGGGAGATGACAGTGAGAGAAATTTTAGAATTTTCAGGACGTTGCCAAGGTGTTGGAATAAAATATGGTTAGTAGTGCAACACTCTTCCTTAATAAAGTTAATGTCTTTTGCAATGAATATGATGTATGAATTGCTGCGGTAGATATGCTCTTGGAACTGGCAAGAAGGGAAAAGAGTGCTGGAGTCAAGCCCGATGAAGACCTTGATCTTCTTATGAAGGTACATTGTGCATGCAATGATAGGTCTTATGTTCCTTGGATACAGTGGCCTATCTATCATTATCGTTATGATGGCGATGATTATTGTTATTGTTACTAGGTCTGTAAATAATCCAGTGACTCCTGAGAAACTGTTCTACATTAACTCATCACTGTCCATTGAGGTGATGGATGGTGATTAAGAGAGACTGGTGGTTCATTTCTTATTCTGGCGGGTCCTATACTCTCCCCATCACTTTACCTCAATTCAATGGAAAATGATGATTGGAATAGATTGTGACTTTTTTTATAGACATTTATTAATTATTATTTTGATAGTTAACATCACAAGTGCTCGACAAAAGTAGCTGTCATCAAAGATTCAGTCAACGGTCATTTTCTGTAAACATGCCTCTAGATTACCTGGATGAATTCTTGTTGTTCAGGCATTGGCTTTGGAGGGTCAAGAAACTAGCCTCGTGACAGAATACATAATGAAGGTATAAATATAGCTTAGAAAAATAGGAGATGCATCTTTGTTGGATCACCTAATGTGCTACTTGGTGGTTACTGATGTCTTATATTACTACTAGCACAGATGTTGGGACTAAACATATGTGCTGATACTTTGGTGGGAGATGAAATGATTAAAGGGATATCTGGGGGTCAAAAGAAACGTCTTACTACGGGTATTTAACACATCTCATATTTCGGTTTCTTTTCTTTACAGCTTCTGTTTAAATATGTTGCTTCGAATTCTTGAAAATGTAGTGGTACATGGACTTTTCAGGTGAATTACTAGTTGGCCCAGCTCGAGTGTTGTTCATGGATGAGATATCAACTGGTCTTGATAGTTCAACCACATACCAAATAATTAGATATCTGAGGCATTCGGTCCATGCACTAGATGGCACTACTGTAATATCCCTTTTGCAACCAGCACCAGAAACTTACGAATTGTTTGATGATGTCATACTCCTTTCTGAAGGTCAGATTGTTTATCAAGGACCTCGCGAATATGTCCTTAGCTTCTTTGAGTTAATGGGATTTCGCTGTCCAGAGAGGAAAAATGTGGCTGACTTCTTGCAAGAAGTAAGTCCTTATTTGTTTAGACTCAACGATTTGTGAACTGCGACTTAAAAGTTGGTTCTTCTTCTAATTATTATTGTTATTAGTATCATTATTATTACTAGTAGTATTATCATCATCATCATCATTAGTACCCTCCACCTCCTCCTCTCCCCCCTCGTCTTCCTGCTCTGCTGCTTTTCCTTCTTTTCCTCTGCTTTTCCTCCTCCTCCTGCTGCTGCTTCTCCTCCTCCTCCTCTTCTTCAATCAATAATTATAAGTCTTTTAATCAATAATTATCATGATAAGTTTTTGCATTCTTCTTGATTTCAGGTTACTTCAAAGAAGGATCAGCAGCAGTACTGGTCTTCACATCATCCTTACCAATATGTACCTGTGGTAAAGTTTGTGGAAGCTTTTCGCTCATTTTCTGTTGGGAGGCATTTGTCTGAGGAGCTAGCTGTTCCATATGACAAACGAAATAATCATCCAGCAGCCCTGTCAACTTCTAACTATGGGGTCAGAAAATCTGTGCTTCTCAAGGCCAGTTTTTACTGGCAGATGCTATTGATGAAGAGGAATTCATTCATATACGTCTTCAAGTTTATTCAGGTAATTTTGAAATCTGGTTTTGACCCAAGTGAAATGTTTGGTTATCCATCATTATTGAGATATGTTATGGGCTATGTTTTGAAAAATGGAATGGTGGAGCCTGAGAAGGGTCCGATTTGGATCAATCTGATTCTATGGGTTAGAGAAGAAATTAAAAAAAAAAAAAATGCAAACCAGCTGGTTCAGCAGACTTCAAACTGGTCTTCCCTGCCACAATGACTCGTCCAATGCAAATCAAAACATTAAAACTATTCAAAATGGTTCAATGGCTTAAAGAAGGGGCCACTTTGGTTAAATCTGGTTCGATGGGTGAAAAGTCATTTAAAATATAAAAATAAATAAAAAGTGTAAATCATCCAGTTCAACCTACTTCGAGCAGGTCTAGCCTGTTTTAAACGGCCCATTCAAAACCATTCAAAATGGTTCAGAATGTTCAACCATTGTGATATCAGTCCCACTTCCCTGTCCAACTAGTTGAATTGGATGGTCTCGTGCGATTTCTAAAACATTTATTATGATGTATCATATTTTGAGATGCATCTCTTGCAGCTGTTTTTTGTTGCTGTGATCTCAATGACTGTGTTCTTCCGAACAAGGATGCATCATAACACAGTGGATGATGGTGGGGTTTATCTTGGAGCATTGTACTTTGGCATACTGATGATTTTATTTAATGGGTTTACGGAGGTCCCTATGCTGATAGCCAAGCTTCCTGTGATTTATAAGCATAGAGATTTGCACTTCTACCCTTGTTGGGTTTACACGCTTCCCTCCTGGCTCCTGAGCATTCCAACCTCCCTCATGGAGTCTGGTATGTGGGTGGCAGTCACATACTACGTGATTGGCTTTGACCCTGAAATATCAAGGTCAGGGCTTTTATTTATACTGCAGACTTAAGTTGTTTCGATTCATTTTATTTTCTATTTTTATTTGATGTAATGAACTAATTACGTTTAGTTTTTTTCTTCAGATTCTTTCGACAGTTTCTGTTATATTTCTTTTTGCACCAGATGTCTATAAGTCTTTTCCGACTGATGGCATCCTTGGGTCGAAATATGATAGTTGCCAACACATTTGGGTCATTTGCTATGTTAGTTGTCATGGTTCTTGGAGGATATATAATTTCTAGAGGTTAGTTATCTGCTACGAATTCTTTTATTGTCCCTCTTTTTTTGGACTGCACCACTGGGTTACATTTATCATTTTGATTCATACAGATAACATCAGAAGCTGGTGGATGTGGGGGTACTGGTTTTCACCTTTGATGTATGCTCAGAATGCAGCTTCTGCAAATGAGTTTCTTGGAAACTCATGGCATAAGGTAATTTTATCCCTCAGCTCGAGTTTTTTCGAAAACGTTGCTGCTTAATCCATCTGGAAGAGATTTATTGTCAATTACATCGCTTAAGTGATCAGTGTGAATAATAGCTACTCTCTCTTATTTTATTACTAACTGTTCTTGGTTAGAAACAAAAATTTGTTATTCATTAGTGAGTAGTTACACAATACTTCAATTGAGTTGGTCCCCTTATACTGACTCATCCTTTAATCCGTTGGGAGGATTACCGAAGATCTTTCATCCACAAAGCCTGTTTGACTTTAGAAATCAACTTGGGCACTGTTTCTTTTGAAGTTTTTTCATGTTCATCAGATTTTGAGAATAGAAGATTCCTATGTGATCAGCATGAAGCTAATCTTTTTTTTCTGATAATGAAGCTAATGTTGATTCTTTGGTTAACTTGCTGGTTACATCAGATTTTGATGCTTTGTTTCAACATATGCAAGAGTTTTGTATATAATTCTGTCAGGCACTAATTTCTGGCATTTCAGTTTCTACTGCGGAAGATTTGTTATGAATTTCTTCTAATAATTGCAGTAAAACGAAAAAATTGAGGGGACAGATCGTCATCATCTGAGCCTTATCCTAACTATTTGGAATCAACTACATGAATCTTGTTCCATCATTCCGATCTATCAAGTTCATACCCCCAGTTAGATCATAGGTCACTTTATCCCTTCTTACTATTTCCATCCATTTCCTTTTGGGCCTTCTCTTGCCTTTTAAAAGCTCTACTGGGAATGCCCTAGCATGAGCATATAACATTGATTGTGAATTCATGAAATAGATGTGGCAAATGTTTTGCTCTTGGTACCAATCTAACATGACTCTTCTCATTTCTCTGGGCTTGGGACTGGCCATGGGGGACTAATATCCTATAGTAAATTTGGATCCTCTTTTTCTGGTTTGTCTATGCAGAAACTTGACGTTGATCTAATCCCAAATGACAAATATTGGAGAATAATTGCAGCGTTTAGCTAGTGAATTGCACTCTTGATTATGGGAACATTTTTGTTATTTATTGTCAATTTTAATATGTGGTGTTGGGTAGTTGGTGTAGGTTTATGTCAATTGGTGCTGGCACTTTTCTCGAAGTGTGTATTTTTTGATCTTTGTGACTTTAAAGTCCTTGTTGCTGGACCCAATTAAGGAAGATTTATGGAACTGTGTTGGAGCGAGATTGTCAACATTTTCTGTCCTTTTTATTTCTGCTGCTATTACAACAATAATCCGATACAATTCTTGCCATCAAGTCTATCTCAACTGTGGTTGGTCCCATGCAATGTAACACCAAAAAAATAACATAATTATAGAGAGTACATTTATTGTAGTGAAAAATGACTACCTGGGTTTACAGGTGGCTGCCCAGTAATGAGGTAGAAGAAACTTGGCAAGGGTTGGGCCATCTCTAAAGCTCGGGAGTCAATCTAGGTTACTCTCTTTCAGTGGGCAGAAAACGTTCATACAGGTTAAGGAATTTTCGAATAAGTTATTCTTATAGTAGAGGGAAAAGTTTTTAGGTTTAGAACCCCTAAGGAGTCTCTTAGATCATTTTTATTGGATCTACGAGGTCTAAGAATGCAAAAACCTAGCCAAAAGGTATCCAACTTTGTTTTTGGGTGTGATGTTCCCCGAGGCATTTCACGGTATGCTTGTGTCCTTGTGACTTGTGGACTGGGGTGTATTTTAAAAATAGCCGCTCGTGTAAGGTTCGCTCGTTACCCTTAAGTCTTCAGGTTTTTGTCTTTCTCTCCACTTCAACAAATTTCATTTTTTTGTTCCTCTGAAGTCCTGATTGAGGATGGAAATACAAAGATCTCATGGACCCAAAGAAATGCCATGGTAGTGCAGTTCTGCAGGAAAATAGGATGGGATTTATGGTACAAGCAATAGAGCATGAATTTTTTTTCCCTTTCTTTTTGGAATTAGAGACTCGGCACTAAAATTTTGTCATTGATTAGTAAGAGTGAAAGTGAGTTGTTGAGTTTTACATGTATCGTGTCACGTGGCCAGCTTTTATAAATGATCGAGAAAGATTATTCAGAACATAGAACTTTACAAATACTTATACAAAGTGCACATCAAGTTGTATCCGAGATGCAGACAGAAACAAAAAATAAACCAACTTGAAGGTGAACACAAATCAGCTAAAGCAGGATCAATGTATATAAGACTTATACGGGTGTTAGGGCATGTTGGATGGTGAGGCCAAGGGCACTGGGCTTCTGTCTTTTGTTAGGTTTTCACTTTACCCTTGGCCTCCTTTCATACCCGGAATTTGTTGACAGGGGCAATGTGATTAAATTTTTAGATGGTGTCAGAATTTATATTTTTATGGAGATTTAGGGTGCTGCAACAAGATTCATCTTACTATGACTAGAGCAAATGTAGGTCCTCTCTTAGGGATGGAAGTATAGCAGCTAGATTCCTCTTTGATATATGATATATGGGTAGTAATTTTCTACCACGTTGAGCTATATAATGTAATGCTGTTGCTTTAATGAGAGCGTTACCAACAAACCATCGTAAGTGCTTTGGAAATATGGTATAATGCTAAGTTCTTTCCAAATGTTAGATGAAAGAAATGTAGTATAATCTTAATCCCTTTGGAAATCCTACCAGACTAACAAAAAGTTTGTATTATCTTAAAAGTATTCAGAACTTTTTACCGAGAAGCATGATTCTTATTGTTGTTGTTGTTGTTATATTGTATTTGGTCACTTTGGATGTAACATTTTGGTGGCTTTTATTGTGTTGCAGAAAGCCACCCACCACAGTAATGAGTCATTAGGTATATTACTTATCAAAACACGTGGACTATTCCCCGAGGAATACTGGTATTGGATTGGTGCTGGGGCCCTGCTCGGTTATTCAATCCTATTCAACCTGCTGTTCACTTTTTTCCTGACATATCTTAATCGTAAGCAATATTCTGAATGGACTATTAAAAACTACATGAATTCATGGAGTTATGGACTACTGTGAGTAAGATAATCTTAAATTTTAAACAGCTCTCGGGAAGCAACAGGCAGTGCTATCAAAAGAAGAGCTTAAGCAGAGGAATGACAGGAAGAAAGGAGGTCAGCTTCAGTTAAGTGATTACTTGCGTTCAAGAACTATAAAAGGTACCTATAAAGAGAAAACCTCTTAAGATGTTCAGGGGATATAAATTGCATCAGGATTCGATCGGTTCTATTATTTTTCTTCATACAAGTTATTTTTACATGCTCATAATTTGGTGCAGGAACAATAGGAACTGAAAGAAGAGGAATGGTCCTTCCTTTTCATCCGTTGTCTATGTGCTTCAGCAACATTAGTTACTATGTTGATGTTCCCGTGGTATGTTTGAAATGATTGTCACTTGATCTCATTCCCGTTTTGGTAAGTAATAGTGTCCCAACTAATTCTAGTGGCTTTCCCTCAAGGAACTGAAACAACAAGGTGTCTTAGAGGACCGGTTGCAGTTGTTGGTTGATGTTACTGGAGCATTCAGACCAGGTATTCTTACTGCATTGGTTGGCGTGAGTGGTGCTGGTAAAACCACCCTCATGGATGTTCTTTCCGGGAGAAAAACTGGTGGGCACATAGAAGGGACCATAAGTATATCCGGCTACCCGAAAAGGCAGGAAACCTTTGCAAGAATATCTGGCTATTGTGAGCAGAATGACATCCATTCTCCTTGTCTGACCGTCCATGAATCTCTCATCTATTCTGCATGGCTTCGATTACCTTCTCATGTTGATTTGGAAACTCAGAGGGTAAATTCTTCAGCAGCTTCACTTTCTACTGCTCTCCTGGTTTTAGGGGGCATTGCATTGAATAATTGTGAAATTCTACTCCATTTGATCATCACCATCCCACTAAAATGATGGTTGTTAGTGGAGAGGCAGTGGGACCCACAAGTTCCACTCTCCATCATGTCCCTGTCATTAGTTATTGATGATCAAATAGATTATGCTTTATATAAAGTCCCTTGGATTTTCTTTTCTTTTCTTTTTCTTTTTACTTTCCCTTTGTTTTCTTATCCTGATGTATGTCTTGGAGGGAGATTACAGTGGGGTTTATGTAGCATACTTGTTATTAAAAGAAGCTTATTTTGTGGCGGAGTTGCAGACTTTTGTGGATGAGGTGATGGAGCTTGTGGAACTTACCCCTCTAAGTGGAGCTCTTGTTGGTCTACCGGGAATAGATGGCTTGTCAACAGAGCAGCGTAAAAGGTTGACCATTGCTGTGGAGCTTGTCGCGAACCCATCCATTGTTTTCATGGATGAACCCACTTCAGGATTGGATGCCAGAGCAGCAGCCATTGTCATGAGAACTGTGAGAAATATTGTGAACACTGGAAGGACAATTGTGTGCACCATTCATCAGCCAAGCATCGACATCTTCGAATCATTTGATGAGGTACTCCTTGCATCTTTGCCCATGATACTTCTAAAAGTTTGTATAACTAGTTGTTTCATTATAGGGTGGCAATAGGGTCACAATGCAGGGAAATACATACACGCTCTTGAGTGCACATGCACACACATATGTTAGGCTAGTCTCTCTTAATGGAGTAGTTCCTTAACATATTCAATAGTTTTTGACACTTGATGCCCTTACTTTACCATGCAGTGACTTTTTGCTTGCGGTATTTTAGGTGATTAATTAAGTGTAAATGAAAGCATTTATTAACTATGATGTGAAATCACCCACATGGGATGAGATATCACCCATATGGAGCATTAATACTTTCGAACAACTAACAAAATGTCATTATCTTTCTATAAATATATTTACTTTACTCAATAAGGACCAAAAAATGACCTTGCTCAAAACATTTTTGTATTACAAAGCAAAGGTAATAAGTATCCAGTGAATGTTAAGTAGGTTATAGAAGTAACTCTTGTGGCCCATGTTTTGCAGCTTTTGTTTATGAAGCGTGGAGGGCAGTTAATTTATGCTGGTCCCCTCGGCCTACATTCTCAGAAGCTGATTGAGTTTTTTGAGGTAAGCTATGGTTATTGCTGATCTTAGTGGTTGACAATCTTGCTGTGTCTTATGCCTTTATCTGGTATCCTGAATACTTGGGCAATGACTTTGCTTAAAATAGAATAATGCAGTTGGCATATTGCTACATGTATACATTTGCGTTCAAGTGATTCATCTATGTAAGGAGGGGGGGATAATGTTGTTGACATAACAATCTACCTATTGTAGTGCAAAACAAGCATCAATGAACACTTCACTTGTATATTTCAGTATACCCGTGTCATACCATTAATAAAACAATATTAGCATGTAAAGTATAAGTTGATATACACTGAAGAAATAGTTATTTGTTGTATCAGAAAATAGAACAAAATTATCTTATGAAGCTCTAGAAGGCAGTACGTCTTTGCGGGATTTTTTTGGAGCTCATATTTATGGTGATATATTTTTGGGGTCTTTCTTTGCACTTGTAGGCAGTTGAAGGAGTGCCAAAAATCAAAGAGGGTTATAACCCCGCAGCATGGATGCTAGATGTCACTTCCTCTTCTGAGGAAAGTCGCCTTGGTGTTGACTTTGCTGAAATCTACAAATCGTCAACGTTGTACCAGTAAGTAGTATTTGGGTGCCAGTTTCGGTTTTTCGGTGAATCCTAGTAATCTAATGCCTTTTTTATTTCTTAGACAAAAGAAGAAACCCATTAGCCTAGTGGTTTTATTTGGATTAAAAGAGAAACAAGTAACTTAATGCTTTTGATGTATTACTCGTGCACTAGTTGTGTGCTCAACTCCAGTTCCCAATAAAAAAAGACAAAAAAATCTTTTGGCTGGGTCTTGAAAGTTATGTAATAATTGTCTATTTCTGTTGGTATAGGCAGAACAGGGAGATGGTTGAAAATCTGAGAAGGCCAAATTGTGACTCGAAAGAGCTAAGCTTCCCTACCAAATATTCTCAGCCCTTCTCCGTCCAATTTGTGGCCTGTCTCTGGAAGCAGCACTGGTCCTATTGGAGAAACCCTCAATACACTGCAGTACGGTTCTTCTATACTGTCATCATTTCTTTGATGTTCGGTACAATCTGCTGGAGATTTGGTTCTAAAAGGTATCCTACTTGGGCCATATTTCCAAACCATTTAGATTAATGCTTACTCGCTAAACATTTTTCACGAATGGCCTCTATAATCGGCAGTCTAGATAAACTATCTTTTTATTTGGCTGGTGACAACTTACATTTTCAGGGGAACACAGCAGGATATCTTTAATGCCATGGGATCCATGTATGCTGCAGTACTGTTTATTGGCATCACCAATGCAACTGCTGTTCAGCCTGTGGTTTCAGTGGAGAGGCTGGTATCATACCGGGAAAGAGCAGCTGGAATGTACTCTGCTCTGGCTTTCGCCTTTGCACAGGTCTTCTCTTGCACTTCTTCCTGTGATTTGTAGGGTGAAATGAAATTGAATTAAAGACCAAAGACCCCTGGATAATGGATACTCTGATCATTTCTAAAAGTGATTGAAATGCCCCAGAATATGCAAATGATGGCTGTTCTTTCCCTTTTGATCAATGGCCCCAGGCTTCTTGACTCAGCATGTCCATTCTTCTGCTTCAGCTACAAACTAGTGGCACTTTTATTTGATTTAGAAGTCTAAGAAAACATGCTGGAATTCAATATTGTGAAAATTCGAGAGGCAAATGTTTCATTTGATCTGCATTTGGAAAAGGTGATATTTCATGGCTGGGCATTTTCTTTTGTATTTGAAATGAAGGCTTGACATCTCAATCCTTTCATTCCTTCCATATTACTACAAAAGGACTTCATATTATTTGGAAATGTTGATGAGAAAACTCATTAAAAATTGTGTCATGATGGTCATTCTTATGAAATTGGAAGATGTTGGCTACGTAAATGTTTAGGCCTCTCTGCTAGCAATCGGTTATTGTGAATTATGTATTTATATTCCTTAGGCTGGAATTCAGGAAAAACCTCTGAGTTTTGTTTTATATCAGCCTAATTTGAGAACAGACAAATGCAACACCTGTCCTGAAAGAATAAATTCTAAAATATTGTATGGAGTTTCCATTTATTGGAAAAGAAATATTGTATGGAGTTTTGACTTATTTCTTGTTGGGAAACACAGTTTAACTCACTGTGGTCATATTTCCCTTTTCCGCTGAATTTCAACATATTTTTAACTCTGTTGACACCTTGAAATGTGGTTCTCTTTTTTGCAGGTGGCAATTGAGTTCCCCTATGTGCTTGTACAGACCCTGATCTATGGAACAATTTTCTATTCTTTGGCATCATTTGAATGGGTGGCTGTGAAATTTATTTGGTACATATGCTTCATGTATTTCACCCTCCTCTACTTCACCTTCTTTGGCATGATGACAATAGCAGTCACGCCCAACCATAATGTGGCCTCTATCATTGCGGCACCTTTCTATATGCTGTGGAACCTCTTCAGTGGGTTCATGATCCCTCATAAGGTAACTTCTTGAAATCCATTGCCTTTTCTTTTCCATTTACTGTTTTGAGAGCCTTATAAATGCCTACAATTTGGATTGGAACTTCCGCAAATTTTTTCTAGTTTTTGGAAGCAATGAGTTCTCTCGTTCTTAAATATTGTAGCAATTGCCTCTGCTGCTACAAAACCAATGTTGATTTTCTTATTCATCCTGAAATATGAGGTATGGTAACAGAAATCCCTTGAGCGGGAGCTAGGGAGAGGATTGTAGTTGCTGACTTTGAAATTGCATGGGTATTGGAAAATCCATTTGAAGTGTGGCTTGACCATTCCTCTTGGGCTCTTTAGTTCTTGTTTATGAATAATTGAAGTTAATGTTGAAATTGAAAAGGTGTTTTAAGTGTCAATTAAAAATGTTTATGGCCATTGTCACTCGTGTCAGTGGCTGACGAGTGTTAAGGGTGTTCAAACTTGAAATGACACTGCAAAGGTTGTAGCCATGTAAATGTTTGATAGAACTTTCATTAAAAGTATTAGGTCAGTTTGTTTTGTCAAGGTTCTCTTTTTTTGCTGCTTATTTATTGACCTTTTACCATTTTGCTTGACTGCTAATCATTATGTCAATTGTCAAATACTAGAAAGGGTTGCATATATAGTGATTCCACAGGTCCAAAATATACATTTGGACCTGCAACCGCGACCAACACCTAGTTAGGAAGATGATCTTGGAGTCTCGAGTTCTAATTTTTCTTACTTCATTCTTATCGTGAGATAAATATGATTCGGGAGCTTTGGCGTCCTTTGGATCCTCTTTGTTCCCATAAGTCCAATTAAGTAATTTGAATCCGCGTGGCTACCTGATCATTTTCATTCAAAAGAATTTCCAAGTGTTTGCATGCTACGGAATGCCCTTATCTTCTTTGATGGTTGCTGTCAAATGAGGTATTGACTCCTTGTCTTTCTGTGAGTAATAATCTTTTTTCGTTCAATAAACTGAAATGAAATTTTCCTCTCTCTAGAGGATACCTGGGTGGTGGAGATGGTACTATTGGGCAAACCCCATTGCATGGAGTCTTTATGGGCTTTTGACATCCCAATATGGTGACCTTGAGGAACGCATAATGCTAGCAGATGGAAAGCGCACAATGCCATTATCGCATTTCCTCGAAGAGTACTTTGGATTTGAGCATCGGCTTCTTGATGTGGCAGGGATTGTTGTTGTTGGATTTGCAGTGGTCTTCGCTGTGGTTTTCGCCTTCTCAATCAAATCCTTTAACTTCCAAAAGAGGTGAGAAAATATGTTCGGCTTGTCAATAGGTATTTTTATTTAGTGAGAGAAATGTTAAAATGTTGTGTTTGATATGTCTTGGGACAAGAAAGTTGAGCAATAAGTGAGTAAAAGCGCTCTTGTCTTGAGATGCATGTGGGTCTGTAGGTTGGTCTGAATGGTTTCTTGAATCGATTTGTGCATGATGTTTCACGTGCTACTTCTCAGTTTGAGTTGCTCTCTCTCTCTCATACATTCTTTGCTTCTAGTGTGTCCTCTCTCATCCATATTATTTGGTTACTCTCTCTCTCATACATTCTTTGGTTTTAGGGTGTTGTCTCACACAAATTATTTGGTTTTGGTGTCTGCCCCCATATCTGTCGTGCACATTCTTTGGTTTCACGTCCCCCCCCCCCCCCCACCCACTCTCTCTCTCTGAGACACATGGAAGTCCTGGATACATATAAGAAAGCTACTTAAAAATTGGAAATCAAATTGTGAAATTTGGTACCGGATGAATATCACAATAGGTGGTCTTTGTGTTATATCAGAATGACTGGTTTGGGTGTCCATATTGGTCATATCAGAATGGGAACGGGTGGTTTGGGTATCTCATTTTTCTCTCTCCCTCTCCAAAATGTTTGGCATTGAAAACAAATTCAGCAAAGTTACCTTGCATAACTATCGTTTTTTGGTAAAGAAACACCGGTAAAATTTACCAAAATGGATTGAACTTAGTATGAGAGTAAGGTGTTTTCTAGTGTAAAGAGCACAGTTGACCATTTACTTTTGAAACATGGTCACATTTCCTTCCAACCATTTGATGTGAAATTTAGTCATTAAATTGAAACTGCCTATCAAGGCCGTAGTTAAGGAAAAGTACATAGGCCATTTATTTTTAATATAAAGAGGTTGCAATCACTTATCTTTTTTAAATTTTAAATTAGGTAGTTGTAAATATCATTAATTGGATTCAAAGTAAAAAGTTTTCTTAAATTTTGTGACACCTCAAGCCATTCAAATCGGCATCTAGCGGCTAAGAGTTAGGTGTGACAATGGACCCGGACCCGACTCGGGACTTGAGCGGTAGACTTGTTTGGGTCTGGGTCTAGGTCCAGTCTTGACGGTCAAGTCTGCATCCAAATCTTGGTCGAAGCATTATCTAGGTTCGGGTTTGGATTCGGTAATATTTTTTTGGTATGAATATATAAAATATATTTAAATATAATTAAAAAACGGAAATATTTTAATTTTGGGTTGGATCCCATTGGGTGTGAGTTCGGGTCCTACTTGATCTAGACCCGACCTGTCCTGTTGTGACCCTTACATGAGTGTGCCATTCTTAAGTGTAGAATGTCTCATTTTAAAATACACAAAGTGTGAACATATGGGGAATCCCCATAGATTAAAGAGAGTTAAGGTTAATATTTTTAATGACAAGGGCTTTTTGTTCTTTTTATAGTTTTGTGGACCACGTCCACTATAATGATGCTATCCTGACATCCCTTATTTGTTTATGTCTTAATTGGGAGGTGACATCCACATTGGGATTTTCATAAGATTCCGCAAACTATTATTTTACTTTTTACTTTTTTTGCATTGCAGAGATTAGAGAGAGAAATATTGTGATAGGTCTCTTAGGGGCTAGAGAGAGAGAAATCTTGTGAATAGGGCTGACAATAGGCTGCGTTTCGCCCGGGCCAGCCTAATCGTTGCTTGGCCCTATTCCCTTGAGTGCCGGCTTAAGCCCAACCCTGATTTTATCAAAGCCGGGCTGGCCAGGTAATTTAAAAGAAAATAAACAATAAATATGAAAAAAATAAGGGCCAGGCTGAGCCGGGCCGAATCCAAACGGGCATGTCTTGGCTTGCCTAGGCTGGCCCTCAGGCTAGATTTTGTAGCCCAGGCTTAGTTTTTTCGAGCCAGGCCGACCGAGCAAGGCCGGCCACCCGACCCATTGCGAGCCCTACTTGTGAATTGTGAGAGGTCTCTTAGGGGCTAGGGCACGATATAGAGAGTGGAGGCTTTGGCAAATATTTAACTCTATTGAACTAACCAAAGTCAAAAGCTCAAGGTCCCCATTTCAAGGATTTACAATTTATCTAGCTCTCTCTGGTTGGGAGGCCCAGACCTTGTTCTAATGGTGTCTCTCCTGTTTTGCCACGATTGGATCCTGAAGTATGTAATGTAATTTTGTAAAATTAATGAAATTCAGTTAACATTTTAAAAAAGGAAAGGAAAAGAACTTAAGGTTCACCAAGCGGGGTTAAATGGGTTTATATATGGTTTTTTGTTTTGGCGTTTGAAGGAACGGAAAGGTTGGATGGAGAGGCTTCCCTAAAAATTGATCTGGATTGGGGATCTGACTGAGTGAATTGGCCAATAAAAAATAAAACATAAAAAATAAAATAAAAATTTAAAATAATAAAATACAGAAGGTGGGGCCAAATTTGTTCCCGATATAATGGAAACCGGGTTGGTCCCATCAATCCTCAATGTGGTTTGAGCAATGCAAATCCCAATCGGTGTTTCTTAAGAACCTGGTTTTTTCCAAACAAGCAAGCTAAAAGTGAATAAGGACAAACACACTCATACTGAGCCAAACGCATTTAGTGGCCAAACAAACGGGACCTCAAGGTTGCATAACAATAAAGAAGCATTGCAATTCAAGCACGAAAACAAAGTTAAAAATGTTCACTTGTTCAAAAGAAGACTCAAAAAATATGATTTCCTTACAAATAGTTTCCTCTTCTTAGAAAATACCCTCAAATGTTTCATTACGGATTTCTTAATTAATTAACTAATAAATTTAGTAATTAATTAATTAAATCAATTAATTAATTAATATTTGAAATCCTGTTTTCTCCGTGGGTTCTTTTTCTTATTGGTGAGGCTTTGATGAGGTCACGGCTTTACGAATTTTGGTAAAGTTGTGCATCAAAACTCTACCAAAAAAGCTAGATTTGATGTCGAGAAAACTTGTGATGACTGGCAAATCCAATTCCGTCATTGACCGTGGATTTTGAAGCTCCATTGTGTTGCATAATTGACTGATTTGTCAAGATCTTAAATGGATTTGAGAAAGGTCTTGTAAGATGAACTATTTTAAGGATTTAAATTCATTTTTTATTCAGGTTCATGATTGTCGAGGCAGAAATATTTCATATACATATTTTCCAATATGTTAAAAGAGAAAGATATACAGATTTTGCCAAATTTGCATTTTTCGATGATATTTGAAGTGCAGATGAAGCCTCAAACTTTAGAAAATATGTTCCCTTCTTTTATTAACCTTTCACTACTTAAAATTACACTTTTGGATGGGAAATGAATATATAGTCATGCTTTTAACGCCTCTTATAGACTTGGCACATGTAGACCATTTCATCATCATAGTTTTTTTTCAATTAATTGGACGCGGTTACACGAATCTCGATTCGCTATTATGATCTATTAAAGGTCACATTTAAACCATCTATTTCTATAAATAATTATATGAAATAGTGTGGGCCTCCTCATCATTGAAAAACACACTCACCCAATACGTCATTAGATTGGAGGATCATAAAATTGGACGGTCCATATGCTCTATTGTAATAACATGAGTCTTTTCCAAATTGCAATTAAGAAAAAAAAAAAATTTCTACATGAGATCTGTCTATGTAATCATTCCCCTTTCACCTATCACTGCATCTCAATGGAACTTCCCCTGAATAATGTTGTGCAGTGGTATAGACCAACAAGTAGTATTACATTGTAATAAAATATGAATTATTTAAGAAGAAAACCATATTATAAGATCATCTAATTTAAAGATGGACTCGGTTAGCGTGTGGGCAGTCCACACGGTAAGTCCCCATCACCACCGTTCAACGCCATCCTCCAACTGATGGTATTTTTTGTTTTGAAAAATATTTGTGTATATTTCAAAATAACAATGTGGTTCTGTGCGGTTTTCGTTAAGTTGTATTTTGTAGAGAGAAAAAGTTGTAGGTTTTTAATCCCATATTGAACAAAAGAGTATAGATTGAGTAGATTTAAGTGTAGGTATTCTCTTAGTATAAAAGTGAGAGAGATGGTGTATATGCGGATGCGCGTGTGCGTGGGTACTTGATGGTGCACTTTGCAGTTTGTACTTGAGGTGCCCCTCTCCTGAACACGTTTATGGGCCAGGCTTGAGGCTCGATGTCTTTTTGTGAGCATATGTCTCGTGTAGGACATTCAACGGTAACAATAGTCATCAAGTTAAGGGCGTTATATGGCATGCATATAACTTGTAACTGTTGGTGGGTACTTGATGACGCACTTTGCAGTTTGCACTTGAGGCGCCCCTCGCCTGAGCATGTTTGTGGGTCAAGCTTGAGGCTCGATATCTTTTTGTGAGCATATGTCTTGTGTAGGACATTCAACGATAACAATAGTCATCAAGTTAAGGGCGTGATGTCTTTTTGTGAGCATATGTCTTGTGTAGACATTCAATGATAACAATAGTCATCAAGTTAAGGACGTGCATGTAACTTGTGACTATTGGTGGAGAATGTAACAACTCCTACAGTAAATGGGTAGCCTCTAGAAGCTTTATAATAAGAGTCCTTCTTCCCATATGAAAATATACTTTTGCAACTCTCTTAAACACACCTTTCTATATGAAATTTCAGAGCATAACAGTGAACTCATTTCTCTCTGCTTGTTTCTCTCTATCTCTCTATCTCTCTATAGCAACATAAGACATTGATGTCTACTTATACGCTTCAAAAGAGACCTATCTGTTTTCTTGTATCATAAAGATGAGTTGCCCTTCTTATACACATCTATTACATTATTAAAAGATGACAAATGGAGTCTTGAGATAACGCTAAACAAAAAGGATTCAAGCTTCAATTCGTTCATTTGTACTATCTTTTGCCTCTCTTTTTTTTCTTCATCCAACCGAATTTCCAACCAACAAGTTGGACAGTGGTGATGGGGAGTTACCATGCGGGCTGCCCACGTGTAGGCTTTTTCCTATAAATATTTCATTTTTTTTTTCTTTTTGAAGAAAAAAAGAGCTAAAAATTACTCAATTGGATGGTGGTTCGTTATCACCAGTTAGAATGTCCACCAAGGTGTGGGGATTGTAAGAGGTAAAAGTTAAAATAAATTACAAAAGAAGAAACAAGTTTAGTCCATCTTCTTCTTATTTTCTTCTTATTTTATGTTAAGCGTGTTATGTTTTTTATGTTATCCC